GCGTTCATAACACTCTACTTACTTTTCACTGGTATATTCAGCTTTCAAATCTTATAATAGAGCTTACAACTTTTCGAAATTTTTTTGCTTTAAATTTGTAATTAGGAGCTGAAAAAAATTAACATGAAAAGGGAAATTTTGAGACGAAAATCATTTGATGCCATGAAAATGTTTAAGTATGTTTAAATGCTGAAGAAACCTTAAATTTTTGAAAGTTGAAGAAGACCTCAATGCCTGAAACTGCAAAAAAAAAGGAAACTTTACTGAGTGAAAGTAAAAGAATGGTTGCATTTGTAAAAAATGAAGAGAAAAGAACTTTAGTGTGCGGAAATTGAAAAAGAGCTCAGGAGATATATGATAGCTTGTAAATACGTCAGCTGTAAATATGATGAAAAATTAAAAAAATAAACATATTTATTATCGAATTTGTACTCATTTTTTTAATCCATGAAATAAAATTTAATGAGTTAAAAAATTGGTTACTTTGAAAAAATGAATGAAAAAAGTTTGCTTCATTTTTCGCTAGCAAAAAAAAATGTGATAAATTTAATGTTTTGCCTTAATTTCATTAAACAACTACCTTTGTCCCCAATAATAAAGTAATAGTATCAGTAAAAATGGTAAATAATCAATGCTACTGCAAATATTATGTATTGATATTATCATTTAATTCATTTTCTTAACACGCACAAATTCAATCAATGAGCTGATTCGCTAACTGACGCATTAAAATAGGAATACCAACAATTCAGTTATTGAATAAATTGTGAATTTTATCTGGAATTTAAATTGGAATCATCCCTATCACTTAAATTAAAATTTGACAATATTTCATGTATTTTAATTATATCACGTAAAGCAATAGCTTACAGTGTAAACTTGACTATTACAATAATTAATTTTAAATGGAAGGAAAAGCTGGATGTAAATATTTGAAGAGAAATTCGAGAAAAGAAAATTAAATGTTTCATGAAAGCAAGAAATAGCAACGAACCGCATCGGAGTGTCGATAAACGTTCCTGACCGGCATAGGGTCACGGGTACCATTGGGCGAAGCATGAAACTAAAAATGAGAAAGTAAAATTTTTGTTAATTGAAAAATGATCTGCCATAAAATTTTATACATCAATTTGCTCGTTTTTATTTTATATTATATAAAAAGTTACAATCTATCAATAATATGCATTAAATTTTTTTTCAATCATCGATCAATATTTGTATAGTAAACATAGATTTGAGTTTCAACATCAAATAACGAAATAGTCTCACCGTTGCTCCGGTTTGATTTCTTTCCATCGGGACATCGAACGAGTTGTTCGACCGATTTCGTCGATACAATTGTTGATCCGTTCCGTCCAATCGTCCATTGGATAAATTCTCGATGTCACCTTGTAACGATCGACCGTACTCGGTCTTGCGTAAGCCAGCGACTGCGTGCTATAAATTTATACAGCTAATTTTAAGAATTAATAAATGAAGAAGGCTGATACTTCGGCATTATTTTTTTGCATCTTTGTTAAGCAAATTTATAAAATATTTTACGATTTATGAATATAATTAAAATTAAATAATAATGCAAAAAAAAATGTTTTTCTTTGGATAAAAATTTTTTTTCCTAAGACTGTATTAGAATAAATCATTTAAAACCAAAAAAATTTGTTAAATAAGTTTTGCATTCGGCAACTTTCGAGAAAAATTTGAAGTGAATAACGTAAAACAGTAACTACATGATATTATTATCAAAGTTAAAATTAAAGAATTTAATTTAAAAAATATGGATGAATTAATGTTTGCAAAATTCAATTGCTAAAAGATAGAAGTGAACAATTTAACCAAATATTTTTAAAAATTATGGACATTGAAAAAAAATGAAATAAAATAAATTACCTGTAATGTCTCAGCGTCCAACCGGGGAGTGGTGGGCTTAGGCGACGCTAAAATTAATAAAATATTCAATAATAAAGAATTAAATAATATGAAATGGTATGCAAATATTTAAAAGAAGAGCGATAATTTTCTTTTACACCTGTTATTTCAACAATTATAACTTGATAAATGAATAATTTTGCAATAATAACTGGAAATAATTTCTTACAACAATAATTGTATCAGAATTACATTTTCATAATAATTGCACCTTTGTAATATTAACTATATTCTAATGAAATGAAAAAAAAAAAATCATTTGTGAACTCACCAGATATGGTAGAACGTGCTTGTCGGTTACTATCGGTTGATGACCTCCAGCCAGATGATAAAAGCGACGACTTAAAAAAAAAAACCTAAGAATTTTAAACATTTTTCATGTATTCACCTAAATTTTTAGTATCAAAAATTGTGATAATCATTGTGTTAAGTTTTTATTTATTCGAAAATTCATTTTCTCTTTCAAATTTTTGAATTGGAAACATTTGTTGTATATTTTAATAAACTAATAAATTTCAATTTACAAACAATCATATTTTCAAAAAAAAAAAAGATCAAGTCATACGGTAGACTGTAAAGGGGGTGCAGGAGGAGGGGCTGGGGGCGTATCCATTCTTCAGCGTACGTGTCGTGAATATTAGCGTACGAGCGACTTCTTCGTCTGCTAATCAGTCTAAAATTAGACGTTCAAAGAATGACGTTTTTTTTGGAAATTTATCGCATTGAAATTGTAAATTTTTGAGTTGCAATTTGTATAAATGAAAAAAAAAAAAAAACAAAAATATGCAATTGCTGCACATTTTTATTAGTTAAGAATGTCTGATGACGCAGTTATTATCATAGCAGATTATGACGCACAAATTATTAGTAATAATGACAATATCTATTAATGATGATAGCAAAGGTGACAATGAATTGAATAAACCGATATGTCAGTTCATATGACAATAATTGATTTTAAAAAAATATTTACAGGATTTGTTATTAAGCAATACTCAAACGTTTGAATTGTTTAAAAACTTTTGAGTCTGCTTAAATTAAAAAGTTAAATTTTAGGAGGTAAAAATTTTAATTTAAATCAAATGATAGAATTTTTTAGAAACTAAAGTGATTAGCAGAAGAAGAGACGAATGGATTATTGCACAATGACTGAACGGAAACGAGCCGATTGGGTGTTTCACTAAAATAAGTGAAGCATTGCTTTCAAACCGGTTTTGATAGATCATACCTTTCAAATTGAAATTTTAGCAGCATTCTTTTGCCGTATTACGCACCGAAATGAATCACGTATGATTAAAATGGAATGTTCAAAAAAAAAGAAATTAAAAATTGAAAGAATGAAGCGTGGTAAGCATTTATAAAAAGACAAATTTTGCTTGAAGGAAAAATAAAAAAAAATTTTGAAGAAGGAAACTTTTGCAAGCTAACAATGAATAACATTAATTACTTGAAGAGTTCAGGTAATAATTAAGTATAATGATTGATTGTAGCTGCAAAAGCTTCGAAATGTGATTTACGTCTGTATAATATTTAAATGATATTATTAAAATTGCAAATAAATTGTTCAAATTTTCATGAACTATTAGCTGAGAAAGCTATCCATCTTTTGGTTAGCTCCCGAATTTATCAATATTTTCAATTCAATTGCTTAAATTTTGAACATTTTTCACTCCGTTCAATTAAAGCTATAAACGGTGTCAAAAATTGAATGGAATTGTAAAATGCATGCAACTTTAAATTGACTAGAAATATCCTTTAAAATTTACTTAATATTGATGAAATAGTACTTATCAATACATTACACAGAAGAAAAGCCTATTTTGAAGTTGGCATATAATTATTATATTAATTATTATTATTTTTCCTAAAATTTTTAGATTTATTTCTTTTCGAATTTAAAAACAAATTTATTTGTGAATGCATTATACATATCTATATATTTTTGTAATGAAATTTAGTCAAATTTGAACTTTTTTTAATGGTTTTTCATAGAGCATTGAAGTGTAGAAGATCGAAAATAAGTGTAATCGAAATGATGAGTAAATATTTAACAAATGCAATATGATAAACATTTAAATGTGATTGAGCAAATAATAAAAAAGCAAAGTTGATGAGGAAAAAAAAAGGCAAACAGATAATTATTACTTTATTTATCAATACAAATTGATGCCAATTCAAGATATTCTTTTTTTTTGTGAACTTGAAATTTATAATTATATTACAAATTCAAAATTACAAAAAAAAAATTTAAATCAAGCAAATTTTTTCATAAATTTGTATACATTTTAGCTTTGAAAAAAAAAAAGGAAATTAGAAGAGAATAAAAATTTGCTGATTTATAATTCAATTATAAATTAGTAGTAAGTTTTAAAAAAATGAAAAAAGTTTAAAAAAATAAAATGAACTTATGAACTTACCCTGGAAAAGGATGTGACGGTAGTGGTGACAAATAACTACTCATTATTGTTACTTGAATATTAACAAATTACGCACATCACACGAACACACGGCTGATAATAACTATTTTGTTTTATGTACAACAAAATTTCACTAACAAACTTTACATTTCGTATTTTCGTAATGGAAAAGAGAAGCAGAAAAGTGTAACAAAATTTTTATGTATTTTAGCTTTAATCTTTTCTTCTATCACTAACTAATGCGCTCTAACATTTTCAATTTTTATTTCAAATTTATTTTTATTTCTATTAGTGAAACTTTTTGCAATTTCTGCTTCTATCATTTCCGTTTTCTTAAATTGTAAAAACCTATTGCACTATCAGCAGAATTAGTTTAACAGAATGATAATGAAAATTTGCTTTAAATGATAACGGAGATGCTATTTGTTACTACGAAATGAACATTTGACGATATGAAGATCAATAGCTGGTGGTAATTAACTTTATAAGAAGTAATGAAATCGGCTATCTGTGTCTGTCTGTGTATATATGTGTGTGTGTGTGTGTACTATAATTGCTATCCTTTTATTATTGAGCAAGTCTTTCACAGTTAATAATTAATAATTGAAATAATGGAAAAGAAAAAGAACAATGGTATTTATATGAAAAATAGAATAATTAAAATTGCTAATTTAATGATTATGTTTTTGGGAATGCATACAGTAAACGATATTATTGTCTACAAATAATTAATGGATGATGATTGTTACTAAACAGTTAAATAGTTCGAAAGGGAATTTAATTTAACATAGTTTAATTTTTCCATTTAATTTAATAATGAAAATTTATTCAGTGATTTTTTTAATATGCATTCGATAAAACAAATTATTTATTATTTAATGTACCAATGTGATACGATATATATTCCAAAGTCTAAAAAGTACAGTTTTTACTTTTCTTATTTTTGATAAAAAAGTATGAGATAAATATTTTTTCTTTCAGGTTTAAAAAGGAGAAAGTTGATGGAAGTTAAGAATTTACTAAATAATAAAATATTAATTTTCCACAGTAATTTTTGAATGTTGCAGGAAAAAGAAATTTTTTTTGCTAAACACTAAAACAGATGTTAAGAAAATTTGTGAATTTAGGAAAAGCTGATAAAAATTATTGAATATTTGTGGTTAAAATAATTAGATAATTGTTTGAGCGACGTAAAGAAACTTGATTAATTATTCAAATGTCTAGTTTTTTAAAAAAAATTTATTTTTTGGAATTATGATTAAGAATCTCGGAACTTCTTATATTTTAAGATTAAATGAATGAGAGTAGCGTATAAATTAGCGTAATATACTTACGTGGAAGCTTGCAGCTAGTATTAAACATCACTTACTTAAGCGCTAATTTGTTATCAAAATTTCGGCTGACGTTTATTTCTTGTTAGTTTGTTCATTTGGATGTGTCTTATTTGTTCTGCATGTTTAGCTAATCGTTTATAAAAAATTAGTGCAAATTAAAATTGACATAATACTGATTTATTAATAAATCAAGGTGATTTCATGTTACAAATGAAAAAATAGAAAATTTTATATATTTTTTTCAAAAATTCTAGCCATTTAAAAAAAAAGTTCAGGAAAATATGACAATTTTAAACATACTTGATTAAAAATATATATCTTTGAGAACGTTCACTTATATGATATACAAGGTCAAACAAACAGTATTTTGAATAAGGTAAGATCAATTCTTACAATGAATGATTGGAAATGGCATAAATAACAATAAATATTTCAATTCCAATTCCAACGATTCATTCCTGCTTTAATTTCATTTCGTACCGTTAATTGTAAGTAAAATTTTACACCATAAATGGATTTCAAACTTCATTTTAAATTTGTTAATTGCAAGGTTGCATATCAAACTTATTTTACTTTTGGAAAAAAAATTGCAGTCAGAAAAAGCAATTGAATTCTAATATCGATGGGACGGAAAAACTTTGGACAGTACAGATGTAAGATGGCAAATGAGCTCGAAACTCAATATTTTCTATAACGTTTTGAATTTTTATCAAAAAATTGAGCCTGAAAATTTTTGGAATTTAAAACCATAACTTTAGTTTGTGACTGTTTGAAAAATACAGCCACTGAAGTCGTCCATATGTTCAAATATTTATATGAATGAAATTTAAAAATATCATAAAATTAAAATGATGTTTTTATTATTTATGCCATCAATGAAATGATTTGTCTTTCAGTATTTTCTATTTTTCAATTTTCAGAGAATAAATGACAGTCGTTTTTACTATTCCCGTCTGAAATTCATTTCATAATATTTTTTGATTGCAAAGTACAAAATAAAAAAAGACAGAAAGAAAAAAGATTAAAAGAAAATGAAGAGATATTTCATCGGAAAATGAAATTAAATTCATTTTTGAAGAGTAAAAGTGAATTTATTGCACGAATGAATGAACAAAATGTTTTTCTTTTTAAAATGTGAAGGCAAGTAAGGTGAATAAACTTAAAAATGAACAGAAACGCTAATGAAGTAAAGGAACGCAAGTTAACAAATGATAGGAAATAAATGATAGAAGAAAAAATCCCCAAATTTTAATCAACAAATTAAATAGAATTTTTAAAACAATCAAAATTTTATAACTACATAATATGGTTTGAATAAACCAAGAAATATATTCTTCATAATTTCACTTCAAATTAGTTTCAATAAAGTTTAATTTTGTCAAAAAAATTTTATAGTTTCAAAATTATTGAAAAATATATTGTCCGATAATTTTTTTTTTTTTTAATTCAAAAAGTTATCAGGAAGATCTGATATTTTTTTTAATAAAAGTTAAGCATATTTTGTATCAAAAACTAAATGATTTTGTCTGCCGTCTGTAGAAAAAGCAAAGAATTTTATAAGCAGAAAAGACGTATAAGAAATATTTCAAAATTTTTGATAAAATTATGAGCTGTTAGTAAAAGTATGTATTAGAATATAGCTTTTATTTGAATCATAAATTACTGAAAAGAAGAAAAAAAATAAGTATTGTTATACTATTGTTATCATTATTATTTTTTTATTGTTAGTACAAAGTATCATTCTAATTATCAATGTTATCAGTGTAAAATGTTAAAAGCTAAAAAGCCTATAGCCAACATAAAATCCCGCCCAATAATTTGAATGGAGTAAAATGATTCACCGATGCGTAATAATAATAATT